CTTTGGCTTGAGGGGAAAAAGATACTGATTTTGTATTTAGGGTTTTTTTAGTAAAATTCGTAGTTAAAATAGATTTAAAATTTGGAGCTCCTCTAAAAACTATATTTGGTTATTTGGAATAATTTTATTGAGTTTTTCATCTTGTTCTAAAATATGCCAATGTTTTTTAATAATTTTTTATTTGGAATAATTTTATTGAGTTTTTCATCTTGTTCTAAAATATGCCAATGTTTTTTAATAATTTTTTAAATATCTTTACTTTTGTTATTGTAATCAAAAGTAATAGGGAGAAAATTAGAATCATTTTTAGTTTTTGTTTTGTATTTTAAAAGTTTGTCTCTATTTATAGTTTTTACTTCATTAATATTTTTTAATAGGTCTGTTTCTAGATAGTTTTTTCCCATTAATTTATTTTTTTTAAATATCTGCTTGTTCATTAAAATTATCTAAGTCGGTACAATTTCTTCGTAGTCTTAGAAATTGACTTTTTGGGACGCTGTCGAGCCATGGTTTATAGTGACAGCTAGTTTTGTCAATAGCTGTATTGACACAGACTTTTTTGAAAAAAGTTTTAGTTTGTACTTTATTGTCTTTAATAAAAATGTCAAGATCTAAAAAAATAATTTTTTCTCTACTTTTGGGGGCGTGGATATGACAGGGGCCAATCAAAGTAAAGGTTAGGGTATTTATACTTACCTTTCCCTTAACTCCCTGCCCTATTGTAGTTTCTGTTTCAGTTCCCTTTAGTGCTTGTTGTGTTCAGTTGTGTTTTTCGTGCTTGACCTTGGCTTTGTATCTGACTCCGTTTATCTCTCTATCCCTGTTTTTGTGTCAATCATATTTATTGAAAATATTTTCAATAAGTTCCGTAAGCATACGGCAAGTAAAACAGTACGAATAACAAGATCTAATACAAGACATGTATGAACATCAATACAATCGCAATTATTTCCCGCCTTTGATAATCCGGAATGTGCCCTCGTGCGGTCCTAAACCTTCGGTAGTGGTCAAGTGGAAAGTCTGTCAGTCTACGGTTAATACAGTGGATTGCCTCCAACCCTGTGTCTGCGTGAGCACCATACGGTGCGCATCTTGCGCTGAATTGTTGACCCTGATGAGTGGTCTGTCCTAGGGTCTATGGTAAGCATCTGGGCCTTATTGTCTAGGTGTGATCTGGGTCAGCTAGCTCCGAGTGTGAGTGAGGCACCAACTACCCTCTGGTAAATGGAGGTCAGTCTGGTACCCGTGAGCCCTTCCTCTGCTTGTATGTCTAGGAGGATGGCAGCCTCCTCGGCTATGACAACGTGATCCGTCCATGTCAGACGAGTCCGTCCTGGGTTGCTGTGTTAATTGACCGTCTGAGGCTGTGTCTGTCGAAACCTATCTGGTGCAGGGTTTCCGGATTAAGTGTAAATAAAGGAAAGAAGAAAAAAAAAAAAGTGGGAGAGAATAGTTAGAATAGTATGCGCAGAGGAGGATGGGGGGGGGAAAGGTGGGGATATTGGGTATAAGGGCCGCTGGAGCAGTCCCCTCAGGGGTGCCCCGGTTTCTCGGGAGCCCCCTGGGCTCCACTTGTCAGGTCTCCCCCCTCGTGGTTTCGGTGACCCTGGTTGGACCAGTGCTTCCATGATTTATGCCACCCCACCTGCGATATACTGCCTCCATGGATACCAAGTCAGAGCGCATTTATCCGTGCGCTCTCGCAGGGTGGCCGTCAGAATCTCCATATCATAGATGGCCTCCACCTTGTCTATCCATTGTCTCAGAGTTGGAACTGTTGGACCCTTCCAGTGCAGTGGAATGAGAGCTTTTGCAGCGTTTAATAAGTGTATCGTCAGTGATTTTTTGTAAGCCTGCGTGGGAGTGGGTGTGTGGTGTAGAAGCATCGGTAGTGGTTGGAGGGGGATGTCATCCCCTGCAATTTCCTTGATCTTCGCCCTTATCATCTGCCAGTATGGTTGTATGCGGGGGCATGACCACCAAATATGTAGGTGAGTGCCTCTCTCTAAGCCACATCTCCAACAGTCGCCCGTGTCTGTCCCGTGTATATGTCTCATTGAGTCTGGTGTCATGTACCATCTTGTTAACAGTTTGTAGCTATTTTCCTGCAGTTTCGAGCTGATTGAGCATTTATGGGTGAGGAGGAATATTTTATCCCATTCTTGGTCCGTCAACTGTGTGCCCGTCTCCCCCTCCCATCTGCTTGTGTAGCCTAGTGGGTTGCTATCCCCCGACTGTTGGACTCTATCCCTGTTTTGTCTTGTTTGCCGGCTTTCTGACTACTGTGTACCAGACCTTGGCTAGTTTTTGTTCTCGCAGTCTCTTTGTTCCCTTGACCTCGGCTCGTTCTTGACTCTGTCTATTCTCTGCTATACGGCGAGTCCGGCCATTCTATGGTCCGGTAAGATGTATCTGCTCTATCTGTCGATTGTTGGACTAAATCTTGCATGTTGGGGTAAACTACCGTGACAGTCACCCAGATCATCTATCTGATCGGCTATCGGGGGTGTAACTTTTGTTACTGTAACTGTTTTAAGGTATTTTTTGTGTTTTGTAAAAATGTGTGTTTGTAGACAATTGAGTTTAGTATAGTACTTGACTCAATTAACTCCTAAGTAAAGGGGAAGGCTTATTGTATTGTATACAGGAGTGTCATGCATTGTATCACTGTTGTTATTGGTCTGTGACTTTGTAACGGAGTTTCCCACATCACTAGGCTGTAATGTAAACACTGCCTTTTCTCTGAAAATACAGTGTTTACTTCATAAAGCCTGCAGGGACTGATTCTACTTACCAACCAATACAATAAGCTGTAGTTGTTCTGGTGACTTTAGTGTTTCTTTAAACTTCAAATGTGAGTCATTAGTTGGTGGTAAAGTTCTCCCTATGATAGTATCTGTAATCTTAGACATTGTCTTTTGTTAATATTATTTGATACTGTACAATATTATGTATTCATTAAAGACAGATTTGAAAAGCACCAGTTTAAAACACTCGCCCTGGTACCTCAAGGCAGACAATGCATGGAGTGCAGCTGAGGCCATTTGTGCTTTGTCATTGCGTCCAATCCCCTCCTGCATCTTTTTTTCTGCTTGGCAAATTTGAACAATTAGGTAGATTTAAAAATGCATGACAGACCTTTCCACATAGATTCAGTGCCTCAAAATGCAGGACTGTACTGGCAAATTTAAGACCTGTTGGCACCAATTTCCTGATATATTACTCACCACGGTAAACTCAATATGGTTTAGTGTGGTGAAAAACTATCAACTCACTGGTTTGTAAATAAGTCCCTATATTTGTGAACACCAATGGGACGGTAATGAGTAAACAGATGTTTCAAAGAATTAAAAATAAAACGAAAACAGTGCAGACTGTAAATAATTAATACAGGCTATTGTAACATTGACATGTATTTAATTAGCATTAACAATATTCTTATTGGTACTGTGTGTTTTATTTCTATTTTGTATGACACAGTTATCTTAAACATGTGGTGATATCTAAACGTGGAAAATGTATGTTTTTGGTTTTTATTCAAAGATACAGTAATGTGATTCATTTGGGTGAAAATACAAGCACGAATCACCACATTATATAGAACTCAACCTCTGATCCTTTAATAAGCTTGGAATTCAGGGCTGCTTTTTAACTGTGACCTCGTCTAGTGTTGTTTATCCACCTGTATGACTTCACAAGCTTTTCTGATTTTCGTTTGTGGTTCACACACTACAAGTTATATTATAATGACATAAACCAACAAACTGTCACAGCAGGATGGAATATGCATATGGTATTTATAGTAACATAAGGCCACATGCTGCAGAAAAAAAGGTGTATTTAGTTTATATAGGATGTTTGGGGAAAACACCTGGCAAGCATTGCTTATCTATGTTATAAGTGTACTCTGTGATTTATCTACCCTAAATCAAAGCTTGTCAGCAAAGTCATTTGGTTAGCCCTATCCTACAGTCATACTGTGATGGTGTCATGTTGAGGCTGCCAGTGATGATTTTGCACAGTCAGATGCACAAACCGATTCACAGGTTTAGCCAACAGGCAGGGCCGGTGCAAGGATTCTTGCCGCCCTAGGCAAAGATCCATTTTGCCGCCCCCTCTTGAATGCAACTACACTCTCTCAGAAGTTTATTCACTAAACTATGAATTCAGTGAATTGGAAATCGAATTGCATAGTTTAAGCAAAAACAGCTGAACTGTGACTGTAGCGGAGTTGGCGAATTCTTCTAAATGGTATAAATTTTGCCATTTGGTTTTTAATTAGGTCTGATTGTCCCTTTCCTCCATAGTGCCCAAACTCTCTCATTAGCGTTTATCCCCAGCTTTCTCCTTTGTTTCTGTTTCCAAAAGCTTGCAGTCTCTATGTTCACGATTTATCTGCTCACTCTATGCAACTGATTCTCTCCAGCCTGTTTCTCTTTATTCCAATAGGGTCATTCAATAAAGTGAGAATTGTTGGGAATTCAAATTGAACTTCTAATTTATGGTCAAAACACCCGTTAACATTCTCCAGATTTGGCTACTCTGCCCTTACACTTACAATTCTCACTTTAGTGAATAACACGGTAATTATCTTCTGTCAATTTCTCTTCTTTTCTTTTCCCTGTCTATTCATTAAACAGTGAGTTGAAATATAACTTGAAACATTTAGGCCAAAACAGAGGAGTTGTATAAAGTCATCTCAACTTTTTCAAATCACTGTTTAGTGAATAGACACCTAAGTGTCTAAGGGAAAGCAGAGAGACCAGTGATAAATTTAGGGAAAGGGAACAGACCGGGAAGGCAATTAGGAAAGGGATAGAGAGATTGTTGAGGTTTTTAGGAAACTGATACAGACTAGGAGACATTTTAGGAGAGACACAGTGAGCAGACATTTAGGGGGAAAAAAAGAAACTGTCCAATATGAACACACACACACTGCCAATTAGTGAGGCCGCGAACGGTTCGCCGCGGTTCGCCACGAACCGTTCGCGGCGAAATCCGGTCAGTTGACACATCCCTGCCAATCTCCGGCAGACCCTCCCTCCCAGACCCTCCTACTTCCTGGACAGCATCCATGTTGAAGGCAGCTTCAACATGGATGCTGTCCAGGAGGTGGGAGGGTCTAGGAGGGAGGGTCTGCCGGAGATTGGCAGGGATGTGTCAACTGACCGGATTTCGCCGCGAACCGTTTGCGGCAAGTTCGCGAACGGTTCGCGACATCACTACTGCCAATACATACATACATCCATACACACACACACACACACTGCCAATACATACATACATCCATACACACGCACCCTGCCAATACATCCATCCATACACACACAGACTGCCAATACATACAACCATACACGCACGCTGCCTAATATATACATTCAACCATACACACTCACTGGCCATTATACACACACTGCCTAATACATTCATCCATATGCACATACTGCCCAACACATACATCCATACGTACATACTGCCCAACACATACATCCATGCGCACATACTGCCCAAAACATACATCCATGCGCACATACTGCCCAACACATACATCCATGCGCACATACTGCCCAACACACACATCCATATGCACATACTGCCTAATACATATACATTTTACATTGTATACATTTAAGGTTGTTATAACAAATTTATTCAATTCATTTGGTGGGATTTAACTTATACTATTGTGCATTTAGTTTATGATAATGGTGGTATTTAATGTGTGCGACAGGGAACTTGTCTGAGAGGCACACTGTAAGTAAAATGTTTTTTTTTTAAATATAATATATATAATTATATTAATGTATTAGAAATATAACTGGTCACACACTCACTGGCACACACACACGTCACTTACACAATCTCACACACACACACTCTTACTGACAAACACACACATACACACAAACAAACACTATGCCACATTCTCACTAACACACACACACAATGTCACTCACACCAGTTTACATATAGTCAGTTTATTAAAACACACACCCACAAACAAACTTAACACACCAATGTTCAAACATACACACAATAATAACCATCTCCCCTAATCCTCCAGTGATGCCATTCCTGTGCTAGTGATGTGACTGGAGGAGAAGGGGACCATCTTTCAGCCTGCAGGTATCTGCCCTGGTTCCTGGTGGAGCAGGAGAGCCGTGCACAGTGAACACAGGCTGCTTCCTGCTCCCTTCACTGTGCGTCCTGTGTTCACAGGCAGGGGGCAGCCGGGATACCAGGTCACATCCCGGCTTCCCCTGCTTGCAGGAAGCACAGTGCTCTGCTCGGGTGCTGGGGATTCAACAGATCCCCTCTCCCTGAGCAGATGATCGGCTCTGCAGCATCAGGGAGGCAGAGGGAGCACAGGATATGGCTGCGCTGGGGTTGGGCAGGAGAATCCCGCTGCCCACCCACAGGAGCAGCCCACCCAGAAACCTCCAGGTGGGCGCCCCCTTCAGGTCGGCGCCCCAGGCGAATGCCTAATTCGCCTTAATGGTAGCGCCGGCCCTGCCAACAGGTAGTTCCTCTGCTGATGGTGACTAACAGCAGTGTAAGCAATTTGTACTTATTTGCAGAAGAGCAAGTTTTTGGATACCCCGGTCTAGAGTTTTAGTCTTGTATAGGTAATTCAATCCAAAATTAAATTCTGAAACAGGAATATTTAATTTGTTATTTATGACTGCATCAGACTCAGATTGCCAAAATGAGCAAATTATTAAGTAATTTATTAGGAAGAATGCAATGTCACATCTCTCGTTTCATTTGGTGTTATTAATTTATGATTACTATCATAAGTTAGACATGTTAAATAAAATCCGTTATTTGCTCCTGAAATCGACCATTCCATTTTCTTTGATACTGAACCCAAGCATGAAAAGATGTGGTTTCAGCTTTCCCTAAGCACAGATGTGCTCCATGTGTGGATCGAAAGGAACCCTTGGGAAAATTAGCATCTTGTGTTTCTTCAAATATGCCCAATCCTATTATACCGTTTATAAAAACAATCTACCTTCCCGTAAGAGTAATTACCCCACCAGCATTGCTGCTTTTCCTATACCATCTAAGTTACATCAGTCTCCAATTAATATCAATTACCTTATTAATCCTCTTCTATGATGACATAAAAAAAGATTGCTATGAAGCTATAATTAGTGTGAGACATCACTAGCAAAACTCTACGCTATCCTTCTTTGTTGGAACTCAAATTTGTCCTTTTCTTCTAGAATTTCAAGTTATCCTCATTTTTCAATATTCCAATTTATCCCTTTCCTTCAAAACTTTAAGTTCTCTCTTTGTCACAATCCAGTTATCCTTCTCTGGTGAACTCCAAGTGTTGTCATCCTCTTTCAAAACCCAAAGTAGTTATTTTCTGGCTGAATTCTAAATAATCCTCATCTGACAAAATGTCAATGTATCCTTTTCGGGCAAACATCTAAGCCGGAGGTGCCCAAAAAGTTGATTCCACATGTTTTAAAACTACAGCTTTGTCATTCAAATCATCATGGTAGTTGTATGAATTCTAGGGATCTACCTTTTGGGCAGCCCTGGTCTAAGCTATCTGTCTTTGTCAAAACGTATTTTGCTGTAGAAATTCAGAGTAACCACCCTCAGTTACAACATGAAACAGTTTTTCCTAATCTGTCAAAATTCCAGATTATCCTTTTATTCAAAAGTTATAATTTTTGCCAAAACTCAGGTACCCTTTTCTGGACAAATACCAAATTATCTTCCTCTGTCAAAACTTGTAGTAATCATTTTCTGACAAAAGTTATCCTAATCTATCTAAATTCCCAATAATCCTTTTCTGTGAAAACTCCCAAATTATCTTCTTTTGTCAAAATTCTAAGTTATCGTTCCCTTTGGTCCCATTCTTTTATTATAACATGGACAAAATTTTCTGAAAATGTTATGGTGGGTTGTAAAGGTCATAGCTTGTATATTGATACAATATAACATCATCCATCAATAATATAATATGTAATTAGATAAAGTCAATATCACTTAATGACTACGTGCTATAATGACCTAACTATTGAGTGCCCAGGTTATAGGTTATACATGCCTAGTGTTAACATCTGGGAATATATGCTGCTATTACATCTGCCACTACCATTAACAAATTATTGTTTTGTCTTTTTTTTTTATCCTTAAAGGACCACTATCGTGCCAGGAAAACATTTTTCATTTTCCTGGCACTATAGTGCCCTGAGGGTGCCCCCACCCTCAGGGTCCCCCTCCCGCCGGGCTCTGGGGGGAGGAAGGGGTTAAACTTACCTCTTTCTCCAGCGCCGGGCCTAGAGTGGTCCTTTAAGTAGTTCTTCAGGTATTTCCACCTCCACCATAAATTAATTAAAATTGGTTACTATATATGGGGAGATTTCATTTATAAATGTTTTATAAAAAGAGCCATCAAAGTCGTCTGGGCCAGGAGCCTTATCTTTCATTAAATGATTTGGGTATATATTTCGGCCAAAGAGATTGGGATGTTTAAATCTTTAAATTTTAGCACTCCAGTTTCATTAGTTAGTTGCACTGGTGAACTAGTTAGACTTGACAGTGATCTCCAACTTTAAATTTCTTAGTATTAGTATTTTCTGAGTAATAAATGTGTTATTGGCTAGGTCAGTTGCTGTATTAATACTGCCAGGTCACTTTCCTGAATTGTTATAAAAAAATTGATTGTGTCTTTTTATCGTGTGATAATGAATATCAGTGTTCATTAATATATATATATATATATTCACAGATGCTCCACATTCACTTCTCCCAGTCCGGTCACCTTGGTGCAAAACTCCAGCCTATGATTAAAATAAACCTTGATAGAGTGCACTTGTAGGTCTTTTTAGTGATTAAAAACTGCTTTAATAGTGCATAAAGTACAACACTTGTAGGTGAACTTGTAGGTTCAACATTTTCATCAAAAGAAAGCCCAAACTGTACTCTAAAATATTATATATATCTGCTTCTGCCTAGAATCAGAAATAGAAAAAATCATATGCAATGAACACAGAACAAAAATGCAAGACCTCAGTTACAAAATTACAGAAACTCAGAAAATCCTCAGGAACCAAGGGGTTGAAAGGACACTTCAAGAACCAAATGAAATACATGGCAGGGAAGACATAATCCAAACCAGAGGAACACTAACATTACAAATAGATATATTTATTTGTAATGTTAGAATGTTCTTTTATAACTTTAAAACAGTATTAAATGACTGCTCGATTAAGTAATTACACATTTTTAACTTCAAACGTGTTATTAGTAGAATACAAAAACTTCAATGTTCAGAACTTGATCTCGAGCTCGCTGTTACTGTTTTACTTATTTATTTTTTAATGAACTTGGACCTTTTCTCCTGATTTATTTTGATACTCTACAAAGACATTTCCCCTGCTAGGGTGATAGAAGGACTTGTTCCAACATTTATTTATTAAGGACACCTGATGAGATCCTTCAGCTTTGTTGTTTGTTAGTTGCCTTGATTTCCTACAAGAATTGGTCGACATATGAAGTGAACAGATGTACATAACTCCTGCTACATACCCCCTGTTGACTTATTAACTGACACATTTTTTGAAGCCATTTTGTTTATCAGAAATACGAATTGCATTACTTAACCAATAATTCTATTGAAGGAACAGAATTAATTATCCTCACAAAAACATTTTCTGCATTAGATACCACTTTACATACAGCCTATCAATAAAAATGCTTGTCTACAAACTGTATTTTTAAATGTTGTTCATGTTATTTGTATCATACATGTACAAATAATGAGCCAATAAAGCCAATATGATTTTTATTATTTTCTTTGTAAGTCAATTTTTTTTTTTTTTTTTTTGCTTTTTTTTAAAGTTTTAGGAAAGATTTTACATACAAGGTTCATAATATAGAACCATATACAAACAAAATCATTCACAGGTAAACATCAATAATTAGCTTAGTAAAAACTGTTACATCACTTTGATGAATAACCTTCATACACTAGACAACACATCACAGTACATATTCATAAACAGAGCACATAATCACAGAGTCTGGTTTAACTAACAGTTTTCCCATGATTTCTCGGTACAGGCATGGTAACTGAATCAATTATTATAAATTTGCTCAAGGAGAATTTCTCAAAAATCTTCAAGTTTATCAATAAGGTTTGAATAAGTT